AAAGATGAACTTACTTGGTGTGAGTGGAGTAGGAGCACCAGCTGTAGTTGTTGGTATTATGGCTGACAAAAATATCAAAGAAAGAAAAATTAACATTCAAAAACTATAGTAAAATAAAATCCCTCTCAAAATTGATCCGTTATCCAGGTCCAATCAAGGGTGTACGTACACCCTTGATTGGACCTGGATAACGAATTTATTTCCTTTGTACCCATAAAAATGCTTTGTAAACATCAGAGTGTGTCTCAATCTGTCGATTAGATTAACTACCTACTACAATGCATCGTGACGTCATGTTATTTGGCTTTTATCATAGAGAATGTATGCAATGTGACGTCACGTTTTATTTACACCCGGCGCAAGTCGGGTGCACGGATATTTGCACCCGACTTTGTAACCAATCAAAGCTCGTATTACAAGCTACATAGGAAATAAAATGGCAGAGTCCATGTATTGCTATGGGAAACCCAAAATATGTATCGGATCAAAAAGTAAAATAGGAGGTGTACAATATGGTATTATGTAATAAAGATTCTCTGAAAGTCTCATCAGATTTAATTCAATGGTAATACATGTAGGAGTTGCGGATAAAAGAGATTTGAACCCCAGAGCGTAACGGACGGGTATCACGATTATACTATATACCCCCTCACTTTTCAACCAGGGGGTATTAAAATTATAAATTTGGATGACGTCATAATTCAATGTCGTCACAAATGTGATTACGCCAAAGGGATTATGACGTCACAATAGCGAAAATTGGATTTCGGGTATTGTTTACCGTGCTTTGGCAAAGTCGGTATGGTGGAAGCAAAGAAAGGTGGAAAAAAGTCGGCGTTGAAAACACCAAGATTTAAAGCCTTGGTTCAGAAAGCTTCCGGTGTTCCTTCGGGTGATATTGAAACAGTCAGTAACGTCATCGGTAAGTGGAAACTGAAAGCTCAAAAGAGCAACCAAGATTTACTTGCGCCTGTACAACAACAGAACAAGAACGAACCAATTATGAAAAATCTACATCTTCTTGAGATTCATAAGGAGGAATTGCAAAAACTTAGGAAAAACGTTTATAAGCCTCCTCGTCCGAAAGTCCTCAAAGATGTTCTGGTTCGTCGAGTTAGAGAAAATAACAAAAAATGCGTCACGTATGCGGTTTTAAAACCTGCTAGTGAAGATTCGAAGGTTCCACTTAAGAATGTTACTAACTACGCCGGACCAAGATTTGATTCAGAAAGGAAATTCATATCACATAGCATCCTTGGTAGTCTGACGGATTTCAAAATTGAGGCTCAAAAAAGGGGAGAATTTAAAGAACTCTTTCTAACTACAAGTTCGGAAAACACTACAACAGCGATGAAACGTATTGAAAAGCCGTGTTCTTCTTTGAAATTGTGGAAAGACAGGGTAAGAGTATGGAATTCATTGCACGGATTCTTGGAGAAGAGAGTGGAGAGGCCCTCTGAGGACTTGTTGATGAGGACACCGAACGATTATCCAGAGATTGTGAACCAGCGCAGAATCATCAACTTAGCCATGGAAGCAACCACAAGCGGTTATGGACAAAAAAGAAAAGCTGCAAATTTTTTCAAGCTTAGTGAAACAATTTGTGATGGAGAGTTTCCCGTCTTTTCTACCCTCGATAAATCTGTTACAGAGGATTACACCCCGGTGGAGATCAGAGGCACTCCACACATCATTGACAAAGAAAAGGGATCTGATGCCTCCGTCATCAGACACAGGTATCCCGCCTACCATACACCGTATTTACAGGAGCAAGAACTCAACTTAAAAGAGTATATTGACAAACTCGTTCCTTACCTATCATTGGTAAATCTAAAAGACTTGCAAGTTGTCGGAGAAGCTTCTAGTAAGTCGCTTAGTGGAGAAAATATTGCACCTGTCGTGTCTCAGGAAACAGTTTCTTTTCAATCCACTGTCGCTGATTCCCCACATATCTCTCAAATTTCTGATGAGATGATTGGACCAGCCATATTGATTGAAAACCAGACCTTGAGGTGGACGGGTCATGGTCTATCTAAACAGGGTGAGCCTGGTATTCAAGCTTCAGTTCTGTTTGACGGATATCAAAATGAAATCCTACACCAAAATTTACGGATAGAAAATGTTGGCAGTACTCGTCTCTTGTATAAATGGAAGAGAGCTCCTGCCAGAATCTCATATGACATACCAAGACAGAAGACTCAGCGCTTCTTTTTCCTGTCCGAGGAGGGGGTATTGCGTCCTGGAGAAGTTCTGTTGCTTCCAGTTTTGTGTAAATCCAGTGTAGGAGGAATCTACTATGAAACCTGGAAAATAGAGACCGATCCCATCTTAGATCAAGGATCTGACATTGTCATTAAGTTTAAGGCTGTCATTCATAACCGAGAAACACATATAAATAATTTTGCTAAAATCGAAGAAAGTTTGTTGCACAACAAGGCAACAACTATTGTGTCTGAAATTGTTGATAAGCTTGTGAAAAGTATTCGTACTCCAGAACCCAAGCATTCATACATTGAATATGTTTCTCCTGAAGAGAAGTTTATTACTGAAAATCCAGGGATTTTGTATCACAGCTCAACATTACGCTGCTTAGAAAACTACCATGCTTTCCTTATAGAGAACGTTCCTATTATTCCAGTACAGTACAGAGATTTCTCATTGCAGAATCTCAGAAGAGCCATTATATTAGTAACAGACATTGAGGAGGGAGAACTAGAGGACTCAACCCCCTTAATTGCCGAGATAGACGAGGATTGGGATTACACCAAGAGGAGGCTGTTATGGCGATACCTGAGACAGGTGAACAGTCTCTGTTGTAGTTGGCCGGAACCCATGGCAAATTTAGACACTGTCAAGCATATAGGTTGCTGCAGTATCTTTGCGTCAGCTTTTGATCGTTTCAGTGATCGTTCGGCACAACTGGCCACCTTTTTAAACCTTCCTATCCGCACTGACGAGGAAGAACCCACTGAGAAACTTGTCAGTAAGAAAAATAATAACAAAGGTGGGAAACGGAAAAGCTCTCAGGTTGTTTCCAGGATAAAGAGAGGAAAAGAGACAATGTCACCAAGAGGAAAAACTCCTGTGCCGACTCCTTCCACTGTACGTGGAAACCAGAAATCCTGTACACCGGTACCGGTACCAGACGAATCAACCGATGACGTCATGGAAAGTTTCTGTCCTGTGGCCAAAGGTTGTGTAGAAATAGAAAAGTATGATGGCTATAAAGACAAACTTTATCAGCTTATGTATGCCGAACTGAGTTCAGCACTTGATAAAATGATGATTTTGTGCGAAGAAAAGTGAAAGAAAAAGATTAGAGATGAAAATTAATTTGTAGTAACATGTCTAGAAACTTGAAGTTTTCTCAGATTAAGCTAAACATTTATTGAAATACATTTATCTCTTACAGAAAGGTATAAAATTTTATTTAATGTTCAGTGAAGTTTTTTACAAAAGATTAATTAAATAATGTGGAACTATTTCTCTTTCTGTTGTACATTTTTTGAGTGAATCAAATGGATTGGAAACAAGTTCCTACAACTTAAAAATGGTTCCTCTTCTTGAAATAATAAAATTTAAATTTAATGCGACACAAATGAAATTCTGATCAATTAATCCCTAAATCGATATTATAGCAATTTAGAATCTACGGGTTTCATCAATCAATCATTAGCTGATCAGTGCACAGCATATAGACACTTTTTTCAGGAGGTGCATTAAAGTTCCATTAAACAATTCCAGAACGTAATAAAATATTTTAGAAGATAGTCCATGTAAAAAGGTGTGTTCTTTAAATAAACATTCAAACCAAAAGGGGTTACCATGGTAATTGTCCAAGTAACTGAGTTCTCGTAGGCATTTTTAAAAAAAAATTAATCAAGGAAATTAATTATTTTGCAAAAGCGAAATTCGTAAGTAATTTATCATTCAGAAAAAAATCGAAACCTATTGAATTTGCTGTAAATGTTTAACATGCATGCGTACATGTAAATGGGAACATCAACAATATATATTGAATGGAGCCTCTGGTCCAAGTGGAAGGATTGGTACCCCGACTTTCAAAATCGACGCTATGAGTCCGCTTATATGTGTTTTGTATAGTTTGATTACTAAAATCATGAGGGGGTGCTGTTAGTGTTAGGGTCCAACTTATTACACTATAAAAGCATGCAGATATAGTCAAATAAAAATACAGAATGTGAAGTTCTCCACCAAAATATGTCGGCAAAAGTTTACTTCTAAAATCTGGTGTGTGGAAAATTCATGTGTGTCTTTATAATATTTATTGTAAATATTTAATTAAGATATATTTTTTGTACATTGTAATGACACAGAAATATTACCAATGTTTTCCAAAAAGAACAAAAATAAGCATGTAAACATTAAAACATTTCAATGTTTATTAACAATAATAGACATTTAATCCTGATAAAATCAGGATGACATACACAGTAAAATCAGTTTTAGTATAAAATCCGGGAGAACCTCCTCTATCCGTAATCCATCATACAGTATTCACATAACAAAGTCACTTAAGTGTACAGTGTGTACAGTGAATTTACAATTTATACATTTGTCTATCTTATGAATTAATTTTCAGTTCTTTTAGAAATGAGAGAAAAAGTGAGCAAGCTCACATACCCCACGCTCCCCCAAAACTCAAAGTGCTGAAAATCCCGGAAAAAATGAAAGAATCGGAATTTCCCGGTAATCTGCACATCTACAAATTGTGTCCTAAATATCCGCAAAGTTTGATGAAATTCTGTGCAGCGGTTTATGAGGAGTAAAATGCGCTGACAAACTGTTCACCACTATATTCAAGATATCCCCAAAAATCTAAGTTGTAAAGTGCCGAAATTCCCAGAAAAATAAAGGAATCGGAATTTCCTGGTAAAATGCACATCTATACACTGTGTCCTAAATATCTCCAAAGTCTGACGAAATTCTGTGCAGCGGTTTATGAGGGGTCGCGCTGAAAAAATGTTCATTTGTATATTCAAGGTATGGCCAAAAATCTAGTTTGAAAAGTGCCAAACTTCCCAGAAAAATAAAGGAATAGGAATTTCCTGGTAAAATGCACATCTACTCACTGTGTCCTAAATATCTCCAAAGTTTGACGAAAATCTGTGCAGCGGTTTATGAGGAATTGCGCTGACAAAATGTTCTTCTCTATATTCAAGGTATGGCGAAAAATCTAATTTGAAAAGTGCCAAAATTCCCAGAAAAATAAAGGAATCGGAATTTCCTGGTAATATGCACATCTACACATTGTGTCCCAAATATCTGCAAAGTTTGACGAAAATATGTGCAGCGGTTTATGAGGAGTTGCGCTCAAAAAATGTTCATCTCTATATTTAAGGTATGGCCAAAAATCTAAGTTGAAAAGTGTGAAAATTCTAAGAAAAATTAAAGGAATCGGAATTTCCTGGTAATATGCACATCTACACATTGTGTCCTAAATATCTGCAAAGTTTGACGAAATTCTGTGCAGTGGTTTATGAGGAGTTGCGCTGACAAACTATTCATCTCTATATAAAAGGTATGACCAAAACCTAAGTTTTTAGTGCGGAAATTCCCGGAAAAAATAAAGTAATAGGAATTTCTGACAAACTGTTCATCTCTATATTCAAGGTATGGCCAAATGCCTAAGTTAAAAAGTGTGGAAATTCCTGGAAAAAATAACGGAATCAGGAATTTCCTGGTAATATGCACATCTACACATTGTGTCCTAAATACCTGCAAAGTTTGACGAAATTCTGTGCAGCGGTTTATGAGGAGTTGCGCTGACAAAAAAAGAGGACTGAACTAACTGGCAAAGATCAGACCTTTATCCTCCCGCAACTAGTTGCGTGGGGTATAATAACAGTCAGATCTATACTGTAACCAGCCACTGTTACAATGGGTCTGGGCTGTAAACACATAAAATAACAGTCAGACCTATACTGTAACCAGCCACTGTTACAATGGGTCTGGGCTGTAAACACATAAAATAAAATCAGATCTGTATGGTAAACACCCACAGTAATAGTGAGTCTTGGCTGTAAATATGATTAATTCAATTTAACAAGAGATGTTTTTAAAACACTTACGCCCCCCTCCCCCAAATGATTGGAATTTTTCCAAGTCCAAGGCACATAACTCTGTCCAAAATGGCTCGAACATACCCAAAACAAAACTTGACCTAAACATTCTCATGATAAATCTGTATACCGATTTTAATTTCAATATGTGCAACTTCTGCGAAAAAAATGAACAGAAACTGCAAATTACTAGAATTTTTCTAAGTTCAAGGGGCATAACTCTGTCCAAAATGGCCCGATCATACCCAAAACAGAACTTGACCTAGATATTTTTTGATAAATCTGTATATAAAATTTCATTCCAATATGTGAAACCACTGCGAAGAAAATGAATGGAAACTGATGGTGGACCAACAGACCGACCGACCGACTGACAGCAGTTAAGGAATATGCCTTCCATTCTTCAAAGGAGGGCATAACAAATGTATGTACGATAACAAGCCATCACTACATAAAGACAGGACTTCAAAAAGTAAAACAAACATAAAAGTTTACTTTTTAAGTCTACTTATAAACTTTAAATGCTGCACCATCTTATCAAAAAAGCTTATTTTGAGCAATTGACTCAGGAAAGCTAAAGTATAGGTTTAAAAACAATATTCCTATAAAATCTTCCCAGTAATGTAAGCTTACCTGGTTTGGTTATGTTTGTGATTCTTGTTATCATTTTAGCTTTACATATAAATGGCAGGGATATGAAACAGTATCCATTGGACCAGGAAGACGAGGAGGAGCCTGGAAATTTATAAATAGTAAATCTATATTCCTTGTTTCCTACTAGTGTTATTTGTTTTAAATCTTTGAGAATATGAATTCCAGAGGTTTATTCCCCGAATGGCTACTGGAATAAAATAACAAGTAATTATCACACTCAATTAAGGGGCCCTCTACGGGGTACAGGTAGAATTACCTGTATGAATAATCTACCAGCTACCAGAATTAAAACAAAATAAAATGGGAGTTTATTTCTTTTCTTTTCTTTTTTTTAAATTTGAGCACTATATAAATATTTTGTATACATATTTTTTTTAAATAAATAATTTTACAAGCACATAACATATTAAAAACTATAAATAATCTTGAAGTTCTATTGATTAGCAGCACTGATTTTCACATTATATACAAGATAACACTGTTTCACTCTCATATCACACATATTTACAATTTATTTAGTCCATCTCCATATATTTCTTCGCACCTAAAGAATTGCTATGCAAGGTGAAGAAGTTCATAAACTCCATGTGTATTTTATGATTATTTAATAGAATGTTTTGATAATAAAAAATAATAAATAAATAAATTGAGGAAAACTTGATAGAAACACTTTATTTATCATACATGAATATCTATATTATTTTACGAATAAAAAACATTTCTGTCAATTTATCTAAAAGAGTTTGAAAATGTAGCACAAAAAGGGGATAATATAATTTGTAAGTTCATCGATCGTAATAGATTTTAATGTACAACATATACTGTATTTTTGCACTATGTAATGATAATTAAAAAATGATAGATAGATAAAAAAAAATTAAACAAAACTTTATAGAAACACTTTATCTAATTCACATACACATATATCTATATTATTTTAAGGAAAAAAAAAACACTTGTGTTAATTCATCTAAAAGAGTTTGAAAATGTAGCACAAAAAGGGGATAATAATTTGTAAGTTCTCATTCAATACTATTACCGTAATAGCTTGGGGAAAAAATTAAAATAAAGGTACAATAAAAAATTCATTTTTCTGAAATTTTAATTTTACTTTAATAAAATTGAATGAATAAATCGGATTTAGAAAATATTGCTTATCCAGGTAAGCACAGGTAAGTCTACCTGTACTCCTTAGAGGGCCCCTTAATTGAGTGTGATAATTACTTGTTGTTTTATTCCAGTAGCCATTCGGGGAACCATAGCTTTGGTTCCTGATATATACATAACAGTGATTTACCTGCCTGAACCTTGCCACAGTCGCCCTGATTAGGACTGGGTTTAGGGAAGCCCGAGCTCCAGTTACTATAGTTACCAGACACCAGGTTACCATTCACCCACTTCAGCACATCAGCCTGGGATTCATCTACAAGACAACATAGAGCAGTACCAGTGTAAGTACAGAACCATCGTACATTTTATATGACAGCTGAGGACTTTTACTGAAAGAATTTTAGCTTTTCCTCAACATACATGTACTTATTTGACACTGCAAAAAAAAAACTTTCAGTAAATACACTGTAGCTTGTATTTTCAGACACAATGATCAACATACCAGAAAAACCAATCCAAGCTGTGGTAACTCTCTGGTTGTTCATTAACTGTTTAACAAAGCTATCCTCTGCTGAACTGAGAATTTAAAAAAATCTTCATATAACCTTAACATTTCATGTTGTTATATAAGCTTTATTTTCCTAATTAACATAAAACATAAACAAGTACTGTAAATTGACTTTTTCTGTGTTGGGTTAATTAAAGCTGTGTAAACAGCCATAAATGTTCGAAATGCAAAAATTTGTTACATTGTATTGAAAATGCATTTAAGACAAACAGTGGGAACCTAAGAAAATCTACCTTTTTTCTACCATCAGACTGAACACATCTTGTGATTCTGCAGAATTATGTAACATGTTCCTATCAGAATAAAGTATGACCACACAGATCTGTCCTGTGACTTACTTTCCTATGATCAGAAGTGATGTGTTTTGGTTCTCACAGTACTGTTTAGCCATGAACCAGGTGGATTGTAAGCCAGGTATATCATTCAGCTGGTAACAGTTGTCCAAGTAACTCTGCCAGCCCACTGGACAAGTTCCTTCAGAAAACAAGATAAAGCAAAGCAACTTTACATATTTTTTTCAAAAAGATATTTCAGTCAAAAAAATTTTAAGATCGCTAAAAGTTTCAAACATAAATATGTAATTGTAAAATAAAAAATAAAAGGATTCAAATTTGCTCAATTTGAAAAGACATGCAATGCAATATTGATATGTAAATAATATGAATGTATACCTGCTTTTTTCTCACATAAGAATTTGTTTTCATCACTACAGAGTGTAGCTTGCCAGTAGAAGTTAGACATGGGATTGGAATAAACACAAGTGGAACCTCTATTTCTGTAATGTAAATGTTACAATTAATATATATTAATTGTTTTTGTCCAAAAATATGATAGTAAAAAGATTCAGTCAACATAACTTTATTATGAAACATGTCCGATACTTACACAATAATTCTTCCATAGGAATAAAATGCTTGATATCGTAATGTTTTGTTGTTTGTACCCACAAAATGTCCAGGCCAGGTCTGTAGTAAACAAAGAAATGAGGCAATAATTACCATATACAGTCAAACCTTGCTATCTCAAATTAAATGGAACTGAGGGATGTAGCACAGGAAATGAGATATTGAAGTTAAAAGTAATTGTGGTTTTAGCTCACTTTCATTGATCCGTGGTACTCCAGATATAAACTTTCAAGGTACCAAGGTATTCCAGAGATAAACTTTCAAGATACCATGGTTATCAATATTTAGGATACCAGGGTATTCCAGATATTGATATTTGAGATACCAGGATTGAACTGTATTATTTTTACTTCATTTAACATCAGGTTCAATAAATTTTCAGACTTAAGGTAAAATTAGACATTATTTTAGTGGTTCTTTGAATTTATTTTTTTTCCAAAATTTTTTTTAAAGTTACATGTAAAATATAACATTAAATATTACAAAGAGAATACCAAAATAACTGCCCCCTTTTTCGCAATTTTCTAAGTGCCCGGGGCGGTTAATAGGGATTATACGGTATTATTTTTACTTCATTTAAAAATCAAGTCCAATTAAGTAGTTACCAATATAACCCAAAGAAACACCAAAACTTACAGTATCTGAAATCCCTAACCAAGCTTTATCCTCAGGAGTGCGACAGGGAATGAGATCACTAAGGGATTGTATCATCCTGCGAGATGTTGGGATATATAGGTCACCGTTGTTCTGCTGACAAACAGCTCGCGCGTCAAACCAGTTACTCTTCTCTTCAAACAATTTATAACAGAATCCATTGATAAACTCCCAGTTGTCACTGGAGTCACACAGCTCAAAGGAATCTTCAACAAAAACAACAACCATATAAGAAAGGATGAGACAAATTTAACATTATACAACTATAGACAAAGGAATCAACCACCACAAGAACAATTAGACAATCATCATACAATACAACAACACAACAGCAATTAAACAATAATTATCATACAATATGACAACACAACAACAATTAGACAATTATCATACAATATGACAACACAACAACAATTAGACAATTATCATACAATATGACAACACAACAATTAATAGACAATTATCATAAAATACAACAACACAATAGTTAGACAATTATCATACAATATGACAACACAACAACAATTAGAAAATTATCATACAATATGACAACCCAACAACAATTAGACAATTATCATACAATATAACAACACGACAATTAGACAATTATCATACAATACGACAACACAACAACAGTTAGACAATTATCATACAATACAACAACACAACAACATACACGTCATGAAAACAATTAGTCAGGGATTTTACAAATATAATAACATACAGTCAAATTATGCTTTCTAAAACTTCGCAGGATTGAGAAATAAGAAGAGATATCCAATGGTTTAAGATTTTGAGGTTGTATTAAATGAAGAAAAAGTAATTAGGACTTCCGACTAACTTGACAAATTCATGGCATTGAGGTATTGAGCTTTGAAATACTGAAGTTCAACTGGACCAACAGTAAAACAAACCTACAAAATCACAAAACTTCAGTATCTTGAACACCAATACCTCAAATACCATGGATATGTCAAAGTGATTTGAAATTAAGTCCCAAATAATAATACATTCTTCATGAATTTTACCCTGGGTATCTTAAATCCTTGTAATACATCTCAAATTTTTTTTCTCAGTCCCTTTGAGTTTAAGATAACCAGGTTTGACTTTAAAAAGGAAACTACAAGTAAAAAAACACA